AGGCCCTGAGCACTTGAGCTTTGTGCAAGGCTAGGACTAGAGATCTTCAGAGGTCTCTTCCTACTTTCACCATTCTGCAAGTGTCACAAATCTGCCAGGATCCTCTAGGAATCAAGACTTGTACACATGCCACTGATTGTGCATCCAGCTTGGCATTTTCATCAGCTTTTAACCAACTGTGCCACCAAAGACCATTGCTGTCCAGCTATTACAAGGTAAAGATTTATTTTTTTTTTCAGGGATTAGCTCCTGATTAAAATTCATTGTCTATGTAATCCCCGAAGGATCTGTGCTACTCAACATACAAAAGATCAGGAGAAGAGGTGATTAGAGAATTAAAATTCCCTGATAAGTAATCACTGAGCCTAGTCAATGATCAAACTGATTGCAAATGATGGCAGCAGCATCAAGCAACCAAAGTAAATTAATTCTTAAGTGCTAAAATGATTGTAACATACAGATACAACAAGTTCTACACAACCAGCATGCAGAAGACATTTTATGGAGCCAGTCAAAAGCTTTTAAAAATGTCTAGATAACACTTAACAGTGGTCACTTCAATTAAAATCAGAATATTAGAAACTATGATGACAGGAAAATAGAAAACAAGTGACTCTCGCTAAAGTGATGGGAAACCCATAGCTTGAAGTGCATGTAATTTGGGGCACCCTAACCCTAAAGAGGATACAGTACAGTTCAAAACACTCCATGGAACCACATTTTGAACCACAGTGTGAAGTGGATTCTTTATGAGTTTATAACAGACTCAGTTCTGAACCTACAAATGTGGTGAGTGTTGTGGGTATTAGAGATCAACAAAATCAGGAACGCAATGGAGCAGATGATAGTGAATGAGGCTTCTTTTAGATTTTAAAGGGTTGGGTTTTTTTGTATTATTTGTTACTTTTTTAAAACTAGATCTCTAGGTCCCTTAAGCTTAGAGAGAATCTCAGTAGGGAGTTACTTGTCTTTGACATTCCATGACATCTCCACCAAAATTCAGATTATCTAATGAATGTACTGTGCTCTGTGTATTCCCTGAATTGTATTCTTCTTAGAAATCTTGGGGAAAAGACAGTATGTTCTTTTAATTATTTTACTAGCTACTAAAATCTAGCACAAACTGTATTCAAAGAGAACAGTAGAGAAAACATTTACATCCTAGATGCAGCCAAAAGATCACCCATAGCTATCAAAACAAGGGATGTAAAACATTGTGAACTAATACCCATAAACATTACTCACTTCAGATGAATGGGTAGTTTTATGTCAGTAAAACATAGGCTGTATGCTCACAAAGACAAATCAGTAACATTTTGCATATTCTACTTAAATTTCATTTGTCTTTGTTTTATCAAACCAAACTGTAACAAGCAAGTACTGTGTACCAAACTTGTTAGTAAACCTGCAGATTTTAAGTTGTTTTTATTATGAACAGTGTACCCATTTCCAGGTATCTACATGTATATAAAAAATACAGACAATATGTTTCCACACACTGAAAACATGTTGGCAATCATATCTGCATAGATGCACTGTAGTTACCCTAATTTAAATTACTATAATTAATACAGTTATATTGATAATAATAAAGTTCTATTGATAAAAACTATATTTGAGCAGGGGAGGGGAAAAAAAAAATACCCTCAACAACCTTCCTGTGCTGCAGTAATAAGGTTCACAGGTGCATGACATGGAGACAGACCCAATCTTCTCAGTGACTGGAGAAGAATGCCCACTTTGGTTTACTCTAATTAAGAGACCTTCCACAGACAGGATAGTTTTGCTTAACTTTCTAAAAAACATGCAATATATTCAAACTAAAATAAGGTACTTTGCCTAATTTAGAGCATGAGGATTTCCTCTTACTGAAATAGTTCACCAATTATAATTATTCTTGAAAATCCATCAAACATGTTTGTTACCAACAACTACAGCAAGTCTACTGTCTTCCGGCAGAAAAAGTCTGATTTCCATGATGGGCTGTGCTCCTAGCAGGAGATGCCATGCCTTCTCAAACTCCTGGTGACCATCCCTAGGTTGAACTGGATTGTAGAGGCATCATCATCTCTACTACCTCCTGTTGGTCCCTGAGCAGGGGTCATGCTATATGGTTCATTAATGAGAAAAAAATATTCCTCTTCACTAACTGAAGGAATAAAGAACATAGAATAGGACCATGTTTTCTGCCAGTGGATGTAATGGGCTGAGGGAGATGAAGAATAATAATAATTAAAAAATGCTCTGACATTTGGTTTCACCTAGAAGATGACTGTGCTTGAAGTTAGCATCCTCAGAGGCTTCCATGCTCCTCCAAGACAAAAGAATTATCTTCAGTTGTGTTGAAGTGGAATCCAAATATCAACTTATTTCATGAGCAAGCTCTGACTGGCTGGTTCAGACCTTCTCAGAACAAGAAGGTAGCTTTATTCACAGCCATGCACTTCAACAAATTGCATAAGGTTAAGAAGACACAATAACTGGTATGCTGCCGGGGCCAGCACCCCACCATCCTTCTGTCTTTAGATTTTATGGTTTCTAGAATACAATTTTTTATTTACTTACTAGGCTTTACTAGTAAGTAGGTAAAGGAACTAGTGTATTTGTCAGGAGAAATAACCCTGCATAAAGAGCAAGCATAATGGCTTGGTCTGAATGGAGAAAAAGGCAGTAAGAAAAAGCATGTATTAAGAAAAGAACATAATTAGAACATAATTAACACTGATTCCCTCGGGGTCTAGAGGATATATATATATACTTGGTGAAGAATAAAACCAGGTTACATCTTTTAAGAATGTGATTTTTTTTTTTCTTCATGGCTATATTATATAGGTATTTAACTGTATTTCATTTATTTGTACTTTTCAATCTTGTTATTTTTGCCAACAGAGGAAACCTTAGGAAACAATTCTGGATATGATTATAACATAAATTGCTCCTTTACTTACTAGCTTTGCTTTACTTACTAACAAAGCAAGGACAATGCAGGTAAAAACCATTTTACAATTCCATAGAGAAAGATATTGCCAGAAACAGAATATGTGCATGTGTATATAAGTCTGTGTGCACACAGAAACATGAGTTAAAATTAACCAACGTATTATCTGGCTTCCACTATTATAAAATAATTTGAATGCTGTGTTCAAAAAGCACTGACAACTGTGAGGGGTTTTTTTTCAGTCTAAGCTAGGTCTAATGAGGAGGAACCAGCAGTCAAAAAGCGAAAATCGTAAGGTCCAAATTTTGCTTTAAGCAGAATAATGAAAAATGGAGACTACGGGAAACAATGCAGATCTTTCTGCTCTTGCTGTTAATCTGATGAGACACTTTTTCATTCAAATGAACAAAGAGGAAGCATTCACAGCACTGCAGTCTGATACAAGAATGACTTGAAAAGCTCAGCTTTGCACTCCTTTGTTTTTAAGTTGAACTATATACATAACACTTGTTCTAGTATGATGATTAACAGTTGAGTGGAACTTTTTTTTTTTTATTATTCCTCTTCCTTAAACAAAAACTTCATCTTCTTTTGAGTTGAGTCACTGCCTGAGAATGAAAAGAAATAGGGATATGGAAAAAAGATTCAAGGTTCAAGTTAACTTCTAAAATCAATTTTCCTCCATGATTGAGCAGAAAACAGTGCTGATTACATAAGTTAAAAGGTACAATGCTTTCCTCTCAGAAATCTCATTTTGTATTAAGGATTATAAATATAACCCTAATCCAGCCTCCGACACACCTCTTCCATAAAGTACAATCCATTTTGTTCACACAGACGACATATGGTTTCCTTAAATCTGAAAGTTGCTTTTGACTTTCACAGCTTCAAAAGAAGAAATAAAATGGCTAACAGGAAAACTACACAAAAAAACAATCAACTGAAATACTTCCCGTGTTCTGGGTGACTGCAAAAACAGGCAGAGTTTACATGTGAAGAATGGCTGGTATTAAAGTACAACAGGGCAAAATAATTACTCAAAACCAGATTTTAAGTCCCATGGAGGAAATTTCTTACAATCAACACTCGCATCATTGGCATCCCAGTTAAATAAGCTGGGAAAAGTACTCTAGTAAACACGGTTAATAAAACCAACATCTAATATTCTAAAAAGGTCTTTCAAACTCTAATACAGTTCACAGTATGAGCAAGCATGGCTCATCTTGGAATACCGTCAGCTCCAACAATTATGGAAGACTGGAAACATAACCAAACTAAGAAAGCAATAAAACAACGTGCTCAGTCAGCACAGGTACAAAACCTGCTGAGATATTCAGTAACTTTGCAGCAGAATTCATACGCATATGCACATAGAGAGATCTACTGTTGCTGTCTACAACTCATAACCTTTTGTCATACTACTGGTGAATGTGTCAGTTCTTTATATTTTGCCTGTAAAAAAACCAAAGCATAATACATAATTTTATTTAAAACAAAAATTTAAAACTGGAACAGAAAAAAAATGCAACTATGATGTAATAACAAACATAGTTGTCACTACCATGTGATCACCATAGTAACAAAGGGCTTTATTACAGGCCAGATTCAAAGTCTTATGCATCCTCAGCTCCTGAATTCCATGACCAACCCCACTGAGAAAAGGTCAAATGTACAGACCTACACCTTCTGCTCAGCAAAAGAATAAACAGACCATATAAAGGTAGACTTTTTCCACGTTGCCTTGTAGGAAGCATGCTCTTTCTATGTCATGGCATTGATTTTCTCTCCCTGTCCCCAATATTTTTTTTTTTAAATGACTTTTTTTATAAGCAAATGAGGCAATAGTTGTCCCTTTCTTAATTGCTCTGAAATGTTCCCCAGCCTGAAGTCTGTTCAAGGCAGCCAAACTATCCAACGTGTTGGTGAGATGCTGGACAAATGAAAAAATGAAAAGCAAAAGTGTATAGACAAGAAATGTTTATTGAAAATGAAAATAAAATTAAAAGACAAAAATGGGTGGGAAGCACAGCACACAGAACTAAGAATTAAAAAAACATCTTACATTCTGCCTTAATGGCAGCACAGTTAATAGGGACAAAGGGACGTCTTGCTGCCTGCCGCAGCCGGAGGGTGTTTTTGCAGACCTGACGGGCCAGTTTTGTCCAGCAGGTTGTGTGAAGGAAGAAAGCCTGACGTGTTTTCACTGCCGACTTCGGACTCCCAGTGTTACGAACTGGAGTTCCCTGTGTGGCCTGTCGGGACATGTGAGTTCTAACATGGGATTCCTACAAAAACAAAGAAACAAATCACAAGGCATGTATTTCAATTACAGCATGAAAAACCTAAAAATAAATTCAAAAGTCTAATCAAGTAATATGCATGAGCCCCATTTTTTGTAAAGTGCTTATGTATGAAGCTGTAAAACACAGAGAACTTTACTGTGAGTGCCATCCTAGGTGAGATATTGTGTAGTCATATTAACGTTTCAGAGATAAAAGGTAACGTGTCTACCAAAAATGCATGAAGCCGATGTTTACCTAAGACTTAGTCAAATAAAGATATGGCAGAACCTGCACACTCTTCAGTTTTACTTAATTTATTAATCTTTTTCCTGTCTCGAGTTTTGTAATACCAAAGTTGAACACATACATTTAAAAAAAACATTCCATTAAATATTCAAATCACAGCAGTCTCGTGAAAGCCCCACGTTTTGTTTTAGAAAGTTTTTCTACATGGTCCTACCTCTGTAGGTTGGCTGGAAGACAGTTTATCTTCATCTGTCTGGGTGGGCATTTTCAGGCCACCGTATTTCTTCCAGTAAATCCAGCAAGATGCACACAATCTACATTGCATATTAGGAGGACCCCACGAATACCACTGGTGAGACTGGGGAGCTAAGGAGGAGAAAACATCACAGGTAAACTGGCGCATGCTATATTCAGAACACAACATAATAAATACAAAGGCTGTAAGAGATGGCTTTATATGGCCATAATATATGGCATCAGAAGAGTGTTATAGGCATAAAGATTTAATAGATTTGGCATGTACAAAATGAGAACTTCAATTTTTCGTTCATTTTTTACAAAAGCACCCCAGAAGTCAACTCCAAATGGAAATTTTGAAATGCTTCCCTGCTGAATTGCAAACCAGGGACTTGGTACTGCCAAGAAGAGATTTTCTTCCAGGTCAGTAACAAAAAAAACCCAATAACTCTGTAAATCCTCTGCAATTTCTAATCTTACCCTCAGAAACAGGCTTATTAAGCTGCTTGTTATTTATTAGAATTACTTAAGATTTTACTCAAGTCCTGCAAAGTGAGTACTTATAAATCAAGATCCATATAAGGAAAGGATAAGCACATCTCATATTGACATTGAAGATGCATGTGCACCTTTATCTCGTGCCTGAGGAGACTTGGCAGGAAACACTAACTTAAACTTTTTTCTTTTCTTCTTGTAATCTTTCATGAAGAAACTATTATTTTAATAAACTATTTGAAAAACAACAAAGTATGTAACAGGAATTTTCTATATATAAAATGTAGTTGTAATTTAATTGGCATTTAAGAGACAGGCCATAACAAGGATAAGTTAAGAATCTCATACAGTAGGCCTTTGCAATTCTTTCAATTTCTGGATTTTTATATCTAGTCTCATATAACCTATGCTGAAGGCTGCTACTACAAGAAATCCCACAAAGACCATCAGAAAAACACCAAATAGTAGGGAAAAAAACCATCAGCAGAATGGAGAAAACAGAACAAAACCAAAAGAAACAATTCAGAACTCCTGCAGCCTTATAGAATGAAAAATAAATTTGAATGCAGTATTCTGAAGGTAAATACATAAAGTACCAGTGCCATTATATTGTAATACTTTATTTTTCTGTATTTTCTGAATTGTTAAAAATAAATCATAACATTGACATTTAGTCAATGCATTGAAGGCAGCTCCAACTTAAAAGTTCTTTCCGCCACCCAAGTAATTTAAAATTATTCTCTGTTGCATGAAAACGAAAGTACATGCATTTGTTTTCTAAAAAAAAGGTTGTATATTAAGATTAATCTGAAATCTCAAATTATTTTTTAAAAATAAATGTTACTTACTATAGCAGCTTTCACAAGCCCGACCTATTAGTGCGGCCTGTGCCTGATAAGAGGCTCCCATTGCTCCATTCACAGCAGCAGGTTTCCCATTGCTGCTGGATATTTGATTGGGATTTGGCTTATTGCTTATAATAAAAAAAAAAAAAAAGAAAGAAGTTATTTTACTAACCAAGTAGTCAACATGAAAATAAACAATCTAATTCTGGAATTCTACTGTATGGTGACAAGATCCATAAAATCTGTTCTAAACAACAAGACTAATTTTTATAAACGTCTCATAGTTTCAGCATAAGAGACTTGCTATGTGAAGAGCTGCTTTGATAGTCAAATTTACCGATCTTTGTAAAATGGTCTCACATGGTCTAAGCTACTCAGCAAGCTACTAAAAGACCAAGTCTCAGGATCAAGCATTAAGAAAAGCCAGACACAGCACAGAATTCAAGTAGGGGGTTCTGGGCAACAGGTAAGGCTTTACAGGGTGAGGCTGAACTTTAGGTGAAGTGCAACAAGTAAGAGCAGTAACACTGCCATAATACTACAAAGGCTGTTCACCCTAGAAGAGGGCCTGCTGCCTCCTATCTCAAGCAGAAGTACACATCTTCCCACTAGCTGCAGTAAATGTGCATGTTCTATAACCCTGGGAAAACTCATCCATACAATATCAGGCTCATCTGTCTGGATTCAGTCCTAAACTACTTCCTTTTTGAGAAGGCTGAAGAACTGGTTTTGGATATTTTTTGTTGTTGTATCACTATATCAATTATTTTACCTCCTAATACTTCAGTGAAGTAGGACTTTACAGATCAGTTAATACAAAGAGAATTAAATTACTCTGCACTAGGTCAAGTACAACACTGCCAAAGCTCCAACTTTGTGTGTGTTAATTACTCCTTTAACATATTCTCAGCATAAGGCAAGGCTGTATGCATTGATTCCTAAAGACTATTATGTGTTACTTTAGGTAGCATAAAATATATTCAAGATCAGGTAAAATGACTAATTGAAGAAACATTTGCTGTATCCAGTCTCTACTGGATACTCTCTATTCTACTCCAAATGCCAGCAGGTTTGTCTCCTTCCTTCTCCTTTTTCATTATATCCAGTGAGTGCCATCTAAGCTACTTCCAGGTACTCTTTATCAAGTACCTTGGGCTCAAGGTACAAGAGAAGGGATCAAGAGTCTCCCACATTATGATCTGTTGCTTAGCTACCTTCTAGAGAAGCCATCAATTGAAAGTGAATCTTTAATATTGAGGACAGAAACTTGCTTTTACAAGAAATACCTTACGATCAAGTTCAAAAAGGTATTCAGTGCTAAGAATCATTCTACTCAAGATATAAAATGCAAAAAATCAGTCAAATGTTAGCAATGCATTTACCAATGAGTGCCTCAGATTGTACAGTTATATCAAAGAACTGAGACACTCTACCACCTTCTTAGCATTTCCTATGAACTTTGTCTTGACATGGAGGCAAAAGATAGATGGTAAGAAAGATATCAAAAGCAAAAATACTACATTTCTAAACAGATTTGTCATCCAATACAGCTAGTCCTTACTGTGGACATATTGACAAAGTCCTGAATTGTCCACACAAAGGAAATTAAATTTTAAAAGCATTTGGTAAAGACAGAGCATCTTCCAGAATTCCTAAAGAAGGCATTTCCCTGAGAGAGTTAGGGAATATCCATACCAGAGTTCTCAGATTTTTTTTAAAAGGTATCATTTATTAGAGATTTGAACTTCAAAGCTCACACCATTTCTTCAGAGATGAGATTACAAGACTGAATTTAACAGTCAGTTTCTATCATTAAATTTTAAGAGAGAAAAGTCTGCACAACATATGAGAATGAAGACCTATTATATGGAATTTATACAAGTCATCAAAAAGACAACAGTAGATTTTCAAAGTATCCTAGTCTTGCATCATATAAATGCTCGTAACTCTGGGAAATTCACATATATGTAAACTGAATACACCCACAAAAAGCTTAAAAGAATGTTACTTGTAATCCTCTCTCTTCTCATAATCTTGAGGAAATTATGAATATAAAATGTATTTTATCTTGTTTCTGTAAACTACACGTTAACCAGAGCAGGCATAGCATCGAGTTTACATCTAAAAGAACAGATATAAAAATCATCTCCAAGAAAAACAGATTGCAAAATTAAGGCTTGATCAAAGATACAATATTTTGGGCTGTGTGCTACCTTTAATTTACATCCAGAACATCTCTTGTCTCTTGCTGAAGAACAGCCTGTATCATTAAGATAAAACTGTAATGGGAAAGTATCTGATTTTCTTTCATGTAACTGAATTAACAACTGCACCTATTTTGAATTACTGCATCTACACAAATGTGAAGTCTTGTGCTGAAAGGATTCAGAAACAATTATTCCAGAAAAAAAATTGCTTTTTAAATAAGGCCCTTCTTGCATGTGTGCCATCCATGTAGCACTTGATTACCTTCTGTAAAGATCACCATTTCAGAACAAGCAGTTTGTAGGTCAAAGACAGTGAGCACAGTTAAGTATGAAGGTTTCACAAGAGTTTGTGGCATTTTCTGATTATATCTCTGAATGTTCTGTTTGTATATAACAAATATTTAGAAAGCAACTATTAAAATGCTTAAGAGAATATAATGAATGTTACTGTATGTTACTGTTTCAGTTTTACTGGTACATTATTAAAAACACTGACTTTATTGTTATACTCACTAGGTGGGGATGTACACCTGTTTCAATTTACTTTCTGCTTCAGCTGCTTTCAGACGTTTCTAGTTGAAAAATTAACACAGTAAAATATTTTATTACATGCAAGCATGAAATTTCATAAAACTGCACATAATCTATCCTTGCATTACTTCTATTTTGTGATTCCACAACCACCTCTAAAACCAATGTAGAAATCTACAAGGTGAAAACCATGAAAAATGAGTTCTCTATTTTTATCATTAGTTTTAAATTATAGCACACTGTCCTCCCCTGTAAAACACACAGGCTTCAAATATGACAACAAAAGTGTAAAATGACAATTACAATTTACATCAAGTATATCCATGTAAATATGAACATCATTGTGGCTAACTCTCACTGCAGAATAGGTAGAAAATAAATTAATGAAATGTCATATGTTGAATTCCTCATCTCTCATGTAACTCAATACCCCTTGTGTGCTCTGTCAGACCCGAGGCTAGTATTTTAGATGCCGTATATGGAAGGGGAACAGTAAAGTCCACTGACTGTTAGAAATAATGAAACATCTACTTCTGTTAAGTGCCATTAAAGCTATAGCTCAGGAACATAGTGGTCACAGCACAGCTAAACTACTATGAAGACAGACTGTGAATTTACTAAATTATAACTTTTTTCATACTTGTAATAAAGTCAAAACATGTTGCACTTAAGGTAGTTATATGAACTTCTAAAATGTTGAGTTTTAGCTATTGCCATATATCATACAAGCAATTAAGACAATTTTTTCAGTAAAGGAACAAGAAATCCAGAGTTCAGATGTCTACTGGTTATCTGAAACATTTGTCTGTATGAAATATGTAAGAGATGTACTCTCCAGACCTTACTTCTTTCCATTTGGAAAAATTTAATTAAAAAAAAAAAAAAAAAAAAAAAGGGGGGGGGGGGGTGTGGCTCTGATATCCAGCAATAATAAATCTGCCTCTCAAGACCCCTCCTTTATCAGGTGTTCCAAACTCAGTCATCCATTTCTCCTACAACTGCCCATTCTCTTCTCTGCTATACTCCTAGTTTGTGATAGGCAATCTTTGCAAGGTTCACAACCCAGGAAGATATTTCCCACCTTGAGAAAAGCATCATCAAAAGAGACTGCTCTGAGTGTCTCTTGCCTCAGCCACGACATGAGTTACAGTGTTGATCAGCTTTGGTGGTCAAGGAGCCTGACTAAGCTTCCTCATGTAAGCCACTGCTCTCTTCCATTTCAGAAAGCTGCCTCTGTGCTATCCATCACTGTAACTCTCATTTATAAAAACTGCACTTTTGAGGAGACACGTATGAAAAAGAGACTCCTAAACAGTCCATGCCACCACACACTAATTGCCATATGAATATTACATATTCTCCAATATGAGAGCCCTTTTCCAATTATTTCCAAGATAGGCGTTTTTAAAACAGTTGGTTTTTTGCTGTTCACAGGTGCTCAGTTGTGTTCAGAGCTCTGGAAGCAACTTCCATGGATACATCTGCTGCAGCTGCAGCCTCACCTCAGCAACAGGCTTGGCAATATGGCACTACCTCCAATAGGTCCATAGAAGAAATGCAAACACAGTATGCTCTGCCTGCTTAAGTAATTTTTCACTAGAGCAGGGAGAAAGAACAGCAGCAGTATGCTTCAAGTCTCATAAATTCATAGTTATTAATCTGAGAACATTTTGCAGCCCCAGCAGAAGAGGTGAACTCCTTCAGCTTAAGGCTGAACTTAACAGCTTCAGGCCACAGGCTTTCCACTACTGTCTTTTTTTCCTTTTCATATTATACCCAACAATACAGAATTTGTTTTCAGACTGGAACAGCATGAGAGACTGCAGGTCAGCAGGTAACAGGTGTTCCACAGGGGTTCATAAACTGGTCCTATTCCACAAAAAGAATAAATCTCACTGCACACCTAGCAAAGATCATCAGAACAAAAGAGAAAAACACAACAAAGGAAAAAAAATGAGGAAAGTAGCCTGGAAGCACTGTCAACATGTGAAGGCATTTGTAGGTAATTGTATTAGGCCCTCATGGCAGTGTCAGTGAGAAGTGATTATACAGATTAAATTTTAGCATGTTTTAAATACTGGCATGGGGGTTGTAAGGAATGCAATTTTAGCAACTGCTTTCCTCCGTTTATTAACATGAATGATATACTGCCTACTACAAAAGAATCAGACAATGTCTTTTCACCATAAGCTGTCTTTTTATGCACTAAAAGTATGGTTGACATTGCTCTCTAAAGTAACAGGAAATGTCACAGCTCGAATTCACACAGATCTATCAACTTTTAAGTACCAGGAGAGAAGAAAGGATGCAGAAACAAAACAATCAACAAATAGTTTTCAGAGATGAAACCTCTGTCTGTTGAAATTTAGAGGATGAAAATGGTAAACTATAAAGGTTGGAAGTTGAAATTGAAAACTTTTAGACAAGAAACAAAGCACCAGTTTGTAACAATAAGGGTAATAAATCACTGGAGCAATGTAAAAAAAAAAAAAAAAGAGCTGATTCTTTCCTTGAAAAATAATGCAATTTTAAACAGTAACTGTTTCAAACAAGTCTTACAGACTTCATTGTAGGGGAGGTCAAGATACACTAACCCAGCTTTTCACCTGGGCTCTGCTACTTTTAATAAACTACCCTGGAAACTGAATGTTATTTCTTTTTAAGAACATTTGTTATGAATATCAACTGACAAATATGCCAAGAAAGGATCATTTTCCTATGTTAGTGCTTTTTTTCAACAGTGGAAATACATACGTAAGAGGGAAATGTAATGTATTGTTGTGGAACAGTAATTTAGTTATCTTTACATACATTCTCCCTTTTCTCTTGCCAAGTCTCATTAAAATCTTTTGCATTGAGTTGGATTTTTAAGGGCAACACCAAAAACAGTGAGAACACATTTCACTCAGTGGAATGAGCCACTTGGTCTTCCTCAAACACTATATAATGTAGTGGTCATGGAGAGTGCCATGTCAGTAAGAACAATCACCCCAAGGCCTGAATCAGTTTTGCTAGACAGGTTCAGTAGAGATTGAGAAATTTAACATATCTATTTCTCTTCCCCTTGACTTGAAGGGTACATGCTCTGAAGGCAAGATGGCAGCAGTATCTCCACTGCCATTAAATCACCACCAAGCAAGACAAAGATTTAGTAGCAATTAAGACAAGGAAACCCTCTTATGCCTGGCACATTAAGCCAATTCACAGTAAGAAATAAAGATAATGAAAGAGCTAATTTTCTTATTAAATCACACTGATTTAGAATTCAGGGACTGTATTTTATGTATATGATTCAAGTATGTACAACAACTTTTTTTCTTCCCACTCCAAGCTGCCTTATCACATAAGCAAATTTAGAGAAGAATGACTGAAATGGCTGGTTTCTTACTGAACATATTTTATCCCTGAAATGCATTCAATTATCACAGCTTGTTCTGGTGAGGAAAAAAAAATAAAAAATCCTACAGATACCTTTTTTACTGAACTGAATTATTTTTACCATTCCACAACAAACTAAACAAGGGGAGGATGAAGTTCTTATCTCCATTAGGAAGAGTTACAAAACTGTTAACTAGGACAGAAATTAAGTATTTGGCCTACACAGGTTTTATTATTTTGATCATGCATGACCTTGAAAGAACACGTCAAAAGCATAAAATTCTGAGGCGCAACGCCATGTTCTCAGTTGGGATGTTCTAAGTTTACTTAACCACAAGTAAAACACAGGCATTTTTAAGAGCATACAAATTGTAGATAACCATATAAGACCTATGTGTTTTTCTTATGTGTGAGGCTAAAAGCCTAATAATCCTGCAAGAAGATACGCAGACTGAATAAATGTTCACACATCTTGATGACTGCAGCAAACAGAATCAAAATGGAGCCCTCGAGAATTTTAGAGAGAGAGTTTCAGACTTTTGCCAACTACTCCAGAGCAAGTATTTCAGAATAATTTCACAGGAAACAAGATGAGTCTCAGAGCAACCTTAGAGTGCTGACAAAGGTCAATTTGCACTTCAATTTATCCTTACTCCATGGCTTTCAGTATAAGTAAAATCTTTTTATCTGATTCTTCAGGATCACGTGTACCTCAATCTTTAAGAGCTGACAATAAACCCCAGAAAAATCTCTGCTGGCAATACCTTTCTATGGTAAAAAAAATCTTAAAAGTGGTAGTCTTATAGTCTACTATGTGGGAAAAACTTTTGCCTTACCTTCCATACTCTAATAAGCTGATGTAGAAACACTTTCAAATAAACCAAAACCACCTGAAGCAACCCTTCTGACACACTGTAATGAAATCTGGAATAATTCAAAAAATCCATCTGACAATACAGCTGTAATCATTACAGCATAACATTTATTTTCCATGTGCTGGAGATAAGATTGCCACTAATTATGCAACACCTAAAGGAGATGTAAACTTAAATATTAAATAAGTTAAAATTGAGTATTTTAAGATATTTTTCTACAAAGGACTAAATGTACAAATAGTGAAACATTAAGAAGCATAAACATTGAAATTTTAATTCAAACTGTTTAAAATATCCTAGTGTCAGTATCCAATTAGGTCTTACCAAGTTTCTGCTCAAGAACAACTGAAACAATTAATCATTCATTCCAAAGTATGACCATACTCACTGTATGCAGAATGTTTTAAATTTTGTTTTTAAATACTGGTAATGCCAAAGTAATGGTTTATCATGGAGTACCAATAGAAGGTTCATAACGTTAGCTGCCACTTCAACACAATATATTTTTTCTTTTCCTTCAGTCCCACATATAGCTTAAAGCATTTGCTCTACAGCCCATTTCCTTCTTATCCAATAGAACAGTAAGAACCAGGGATCACACTGCTGCAAACCAGCACACAATACAAATGGCTAAAAAAGCTCTTCACATCTGTGTGACATACAGCAGGCATCAGAGGATTTGAGAAAGCACTGTGAACAGCACAAAATCACTGGTCTGTAGCCTAAAATATTACCATAAGCCTCCCACCACATTTTTTTTTAAAGAACACAGATTTTTATGCTTTAACAAGTTCAGACTTTTTTTGCAATGTGGCAGACTGGTTCATGCTGAAATAGTCATTAAATTACCTGCTGCACATATCTGTCAGTGGTTTTCCACATGTAATAATACTCAATGATGCTAGTCAGTGACTTCCAAGGGAGCTGAAAAACATTTGTTACAAATTAAAGCAGTTCCAAGAAATTGCCATGTCCACATCTTACTAAACACATGTCAAAATCAAGTATAGTTGACAAACAAACACTAAAATGTGAATGTATTAAATACCTACATTTAAATCCATAAGTAAATGAATACATATTACTATTAATAATACACAACCTTTCCTTATAGTTAATGAGGATGTAGAATTACAGCAATATTACACATCCAAATCTCATTTATTCTGTTTAAGCCATATGGTTAAACAAAATGATCAAAACAGAATCCAGATTGCCATCAGGAAACACAGAAGGTAATTTCTCTATTATAAAGTATATCAGATGGAGAACAACATCAAGAATAAAATAAATCATCTTCAAAAGACTGTGTTTGAGTCTCATTATAATTTTACTCTTTAAAAAAATACAATGGTTACTGTATTTAATTCACAGGTTTTTCAATTCCCATTGCAACTCAGCCACAGTGTCACTAGTTTTGCATAAACCTCCACATAACTCTTGACTCATTGAAACATGGATACAAGTGACAACTGCTACTTTGAGCAACAAGAATGATACTGAAAATGAGTATTTCACAAAAATCTCTGTGCAAACTCAGGGCAATCGATGACCACTCTGGCTGCACATTAGCAAAGTAAAAATGCACCAGCCTAAGCTTAGGGGAGAAAACTAATCATACAAAAGCCATTTTTATTTACTACCAATATTTAATTCCATAAGATCTTTCTATAATCTAAATTAGTAATTGTCTTACAGAATTCAAGCAGATTTTCTGCATAACCTGGAAACATGCTCCTGCTCTCTGCATGGTATTTTTTATCACATTACCTTTTCCAAGGCATGCATTAATGCTAATGTCCTCTGCTTTTCAGAAATGAGGATGATTCTCAGCAAGTCCCAGAAAACACAAGTGTGGAAACTTATCTTTCCAACCTTACTCACTTCACTTTGGAGATTTATGCATGTCTTAAAACAAAAGAATAGGTTCCTGAACCTTTAATTAAGTTCCTTAAGCAATAGAATGCTGTATCAAGCTACCTCTCCCTGCACGCAGGAGCTCACAGCCAATTTTTCACACTGCTTGCTTGCAGACATTTAGAGGAACCGAGTCTGACTCCCATCTCTGCTTTTGAGAGGTTGGGATTCAGATTCAGACTGAGCTGTGAATTCTCTCTCAGGCAGTGTACCACAGTGCCTAAATCCCTGTCCGTTTGCATTTAATTAAAAAGTAACAGACTAACAAATGCATAAGCTAATGTTCCAAAAAATAACACAATTCAGTTAACGAAAATTCTTTTACTTTCTCAGGTAAATTATGCCTTAAGAGAAATGTGACCAAGAAAAGGCTAGTGATAGGAACATGTTTAGCGTGAGGTAACAGATTAGCTGCTTTTTAGTCTATAGGTCCATACTCTTCCTGGCATCCAGATGAAGTACTGTATTTTCAACTACTTACCATTGTCAGTGAGTACATTTTAGCATTTCCATATTTATTTTCCTTCCTGAACTCTTATTAAGACATTCATGCAATACATTATGTTTGATATTTCTCTAGAAAATGCTTTAATCTGTTTAAACTATGACTGTGACACCTGTATGTGCATTCACTCGGTAGGCATATACAATTAAAGATGGATAATTAAAGTGCTTGGATTGGAGAACCATAATCCTTCTACACTTTGATTCACATCTCAGAAAACCTGTTTGACAGATTGAGTATGACTATCCTTTATTCTGTTTACCTACACACCAAAGGAACAAAACACTGTGGAGGCACATGAATTTTCCAGAGGTTGCTCCCAACTGCCACAGAATAATGTATGTTCATTACCAAGTTTTATTAAATACTGAAAGAAGTAAAAATGCTGCCTGTGTGTCATTTTTGTAGGAAAAAAACAGCAAAATGACGTCAGCAGTACAAAAACAGGGAGAAGGAATTTTCTGGTTTTTTGTTTCTGCAGATTAAAGATGGACCACTCAAATCAGACTGGCATGAAAAACTTTGGATTATAAAGTATCATAAAGTGAACATGTTAACTTCAAGGAATGTTGCCACAATGTCCTGAAGTCGGAAAACAGATGCTCCTGTTTTCTATGTACAGTTGAAGTCTGATTCCCAGGGCCCTTCCTACCACATTTGAGATGTAGAATTATGTATTTGTGAAAACCAGTGATAACGAAAAACTAAGAAGCCTAACAGCTGTTTCTTACCATTAGTGAAATAGTTATAGTTGGAGAACATAAGATATCCAGTGTGCTCCCTTTCTACTGCCCTAGGATGTGAAGTAATACAAGTAAATTCACTTAACTTAAAAAGTTAGGACTGATTAGCATTCACACAAGCTCTTTATAACAGCACAACCTTCAGAAATGAGCTCCAACTATTGATGAGTCAACAGCTGATGAAAATTATTTTTCAAAGACTAGTAGACTGGCAATTTGATAACAAATGAGCTTCTGTCTATTAAAAAAGGTACTTCTTTACACAATTTCATTTAAAATAATTCTCTTGCTTACTAATACTTAACATCTATAGCATAATGCTTGAGCTGCACATTGAATGTCAAATAGTGCCAGTTGTTAGTAATTGCTGGAAAAGTAAATGAGCCTGCCCTTCAGAGGACTATGATGTAAGGGCTTCAGTTGCAGCTGTCATGCCTTACATTCAGGAGAACTCAGAAAAGGCAACTCTTCTGGCATGTGATGACTCAAGCAGGTACTACGTAACCCTTCTTCTTCAGAACACTGCCACCAAACAGCTTTATGACACGCAACACAACAGTCTTTCCTATGCTGTTGCCCCACTGCGTGATTGCTTAGGTTCTAATTTTATTTCAAGCACTTTAGGATATAATTCTATCATTAGATCTTACACAGACAGTTAAACATGTCAGTGTGTAAACTACCAGGGCATTACCTTCTTGATCCATGCTTTTACACCACACAACACTTTACAATGACCAGCCAGTAAAGAAAGGGATGATAATAAGAGAAATGTATTCTCAAGGATAACCATTAGCTATGGGCTAAAAATTTACTCCTACCTCACCTTGCAGAAACTTTTAATATATCCATCAACTAAAGCTTGAAGGGCTATTTTAGATGATTACTTAAAAATGAATGTGTATTTTTAAATCCATATCCCTTTAGAATGCTACACAGCAAGTGAAAACACATTGCTTTTGCTCTAGAGAAATTATGATACCCGAAGATTACACAATGATTAATGTAATTGAAAGTTATATAGAATTAGATCAAGATTGTGTGCATTAAATTACAGTACCATGTAAATTGATATGTAAAATAGATGCCCTTCTGTTGATGTTTTAAAAATGACGTGCCACTAATCCTAAGGTAAAAAAAGCCCTGACTTTAGGATAGACAATATCCCTGTTCAAAGTAAATGACACTATAATTAATTAGCGCCCCATATCTATTTCTGCTGCACTCTTGGCTCATCATTAATGTGCCCTCAGTGGGCTACACAACCCTATCTCTAGATCTGCATGTCTCTCTCACTCAGGGAGGACTGCAAGAGAAAATACATGCATTTTGGGAAGGAAGATTCAGAAATAACACAATTCAGTTAACGAAAATTCTTTTACTTTCTCAGGTAAATTATGCCTTAAGAGAAATGTGACCAAGAAAAGGCTAGTGATAGGAACATGTTTAGCGTGAGGTAACAGATTAGCTGCTTTTTAGTCTATAGGTCCATACTCTTCCTGGCATCCAGATGAAGTACTGTATTTTCAACTACTTACCATTGTCAGTGAGTACATTTTAGCATTTCCATATTTATTTTCCTTCCTGAACTCTTATTAAGACATTCATGCAATACATTATGTTTGATATTTCTCTAGAAAATGCTTTAATCTGTTTAAACTATGACTGTGACACCTGTATGTGCATTCACTCGGTAGGCATATACAATTAAAGATGGATAATTAAAGTGCTTGGATTGGAGAACCATAATCCTTCTACACTTTGATTCACATCTCAGAAAACCTGTTTGACAGATTGAGTATGACTATCCTTTATTCTGTTTACCTACACACCAAAGGAACAAAACACTGTGGAGGCACATGAATTTTCCAGAGGTTGCTCCCAACTGCCACAGAATAATGTATGTTCATTACCAAGTTTTATTAAATACTGAAAGAAGTAAAAATGCTGCCTGTGTGTCATTTTTGTAGGAAAAAAACAGCAAAATGACGTCAGCAGTACAAAAACAGGGAGAAGGAATTTTCTGGTTTTTTGTTTCTGCAGATTAAAGATGGACCACTCAAATCAGACTGGCATGAAAAACTTTGGATTATAAAGTATCATAAAGTGAACATGTTAACTTCAAGGAATGTTGCCACAATGTCCTGAAGTCGGAAAACAGATGCTCCTGTTTTCTATGTACAGTTGAAGTCTGATTCCCAGGGCCCTTCCTACCACATTTGAGATGTAGAATTATGTATTTGTGAAAACCAGTGATAACGAAAAACTAAGAAGCCTAACAGCTGTTTCTTACCATTAGTGAAATAGTTATAGTTGGAGAACATAAGATATCCAGTGTGCTCCCTTTCTACTGCCCTAGGATGTGAAGTAATACAAGTAAATTCACTTAACTTAAAAAGTTAGGACTGATTAGCATTCACACAAGCTCTTTATAACAGCACAACCTTCAGAAATGAGCTCCAACTATTGATAAGTCAACAGCTGATGAAAATTATTTTTCAAAGACTAGTAGACTGGCAATTTGATAACAAATGAGCTTCTGTCTATTAAAAAAGGTACTTCTTTACACCATTTCATTTAAAATAATTCTCTTGCTTACTAATACTTAACATCTATAGCATAATGCTTGAGCTGCACATTGAATGTCAAATAGTGCCAGTTGTTAGTAATTGCTGGAAAAGTAAATGAGCCTGCCCTTCAGAGGACTATGATGTAAGGGCTTCAGTTGCAGCTGTCATGCCTTACATTCAGGAGAACTCAGAAAAGGCAACTCTTCTGGCATGTGATGACTCAAGCAGGTACTACGTAACCCTTCTTCTTCAGAACACTGCCACCAAACAGCTTTATGACACGCAACACAACAGTCTTTCCTATGCTGTTGCCCCACTGCGTGATTGCTTAGGTTCTAATTTTATTTCAAGCACTTTAGGATATAATTCTATCATTAGATCTTACACAGACAGTTAAACATGTCAGTGTGTAAACTACCAGGGCATTACCTTCTTGATCCATGCTTTTACACCACACAACACTTTACAATGACCAGCCAGTAAAGAAAGGGATGATAATAAGAGAAATGTATTCTCAAGGATAACCATTAGCTATGGGCTAAAAATTTACTCCTACCTCACCTTGCAGAAACTTTTAATATATCCATCAACTAAAGCTTGAAGGGCTATTTTAGATGATTACTTAAAAATGAATGTGTATTTTTAAATCCATATCCCTTTAGAATGCTACACAGCAAGTGAAAACACATTGCTTTTGCTCTAGAGAAATTATGATACCCGAAGATTACACAATGATTAATGTAATTGAAAGTTATATAGAATTAGATCAAGATTGTGTGCATTAAATTACAGTACCATGTAAATTGATATGTAAAATAGATGCCCTTCTGTTGATGTTTTAAAAATGACGTGCCACTAATCCTAAGGTAAAAAAAGCCCTGACTTTAGGATAGACAATATCCCTGTTCAAAGTAAATGACACTATAATTAATTAGCGCCCCATATCTATTTCTGCTGCACTCTTGGCTCATCATTAATGTGCCCTCAGTGGGCTACACAACCCTATCTCTAGATCTGCATGTCTCTCTCACTCAGGGAGGACTGCAAGAGAAAATACATGCATTTTGGGAAGGAAGATTCAGTGAAAGAGGGAGGGTATCAGGAGTCTACCCAAAATAAAAAGTGAACATTCTATAGAGCTTCTGGTGACTCACTCAAATATCTATCATTTGAGCATTATAAAACCATAACTGATTGCTGCAACATGTTAATCCACTATATTACTTTAATCTATGCATATCAACAAAATTACATGTGACATGATATAGAAATTATACAGAAAATAAAAATATTACATAAATACCAGAGACCAAGGCATAGATATACTTGGTCACAAATTGTGTGGGGACTTAACTTGTAAATAGACAATAAAATTAATATGTTTTAGGCATTTTGAAAAGCCAAACACTATGTATTAGTAAACATTGAGTTAGAAAATATAGCTACTGAGCTATTGTACAATTGCAGCTGAAGACTATTTGTCTGTATGAGAAATAATGAGGAATTGTAGTTCATATTAAGATTTCTAAAGATTTCTAAGATTCTATAAAATATTTTTTGTCTACTTATATTTCTTGAGCTTAAGACAGCTATTTCATCCATGATGCAGTTTTCAACCTTATGTGATGAATGCAGTGAACATTTTCCCCCCTAGGAATCTCCAAATTAAGCATGCAAATACAATACACCTCTTAAAATGACAGCTCTTCAGAAAAACAATAGCCTTTCCTTCCCACCTTCATTCAATTATCTCCTTCATTTCAGAACTGTGAAATTGAAGACACCCTTGCTCAGAGCCAACCTTCCTCCCGTTATCCCACACACTATTGTGGAAGGACTTCTGCATTTACCATACAGTAACATTTTCCCCTCACAAAGACAACTAATAACATTGGCAAAAAAAAATAAAATAAAAATCTGAGCTCTCAGAGTCAAACAGAATGAGTTGCAAATATGTTTCGAGCTTCAGTCTTAAATAATGGAACCCCTTTGGCTCAAATCCTAACCTTTTCACAAAGCCCAACTTGAACTTAGTTCAACAGAAGAAACCTTTTTTCTTGAAAGAAGAGGCAAAAAAGCTTGCAGACAAATCATTAGGAATCCCAGAAATCAGTGTTAGAATCAATTTAATTAGTCTGCATTGGAATTCAGCAAATTAAAGCTTTACTGCCCTACAGTCTGATACTTCAGTACCAAAACCAGTGTAGTTAGAACACAATGGAAAACATTTCCTTTATTTTTCTGAAGTGTCAAAATAACTCCCTGTAGGAGACTTTAAAAGCTATCTGAATATAAATTTCTCTCTGCTAACCAGAGAAGGAAACCCCAGCCTTCCAAAAAGACTCAGGGGAGTCAGACATGAAGCTGGAAATTGTGGAAAAGTTCTGAAGCATCCTTTCAGACACTTGTAAAATCCTTATCAAAACACATCAGCATGAGACATCCTACCTAGTATTAAACCGTTGTACAGATGATCTTCTATCAGCATTTTTCCAAAGAATAGCACTGAACAAGAAAGCATACTGACTTGCAACCAGCTAAAATGCATATGTATGCTAATTACATGGATCAGCTACACAGACTTCTCCTCTAGCTAATCTTCCAAACCTACAGAAAGTAGTTACGCTCACCCATGCAAAAATATAGCACCAGAGCAGTGTAGTACTTTTGTACTTACAAAGTCTTGTCGAATGTCATTGAAGTCCTTGCCATACTTTTCCAATGCCTCTTCAAACAAACTAGCTTCTGATGCTGACCACTCTTCCATTTCATCTCTACACAGGACAGGCCCTCCAACTGGTACTAGAACACTGATGGCACTGCTTAAATCATAGTTGTGTTTATGCAGTGTATCCATTGCATGAAACTAGCACAGAGAATAAAAAAAAAGTGTTTAAATAGACAGTTTATTTAATTTATAGCAATTTAATGTATTATTTTCTGTAAGTCATGTAAGAAGCCTCACTTAGTGCTAAATTTATAATCTATATTGATATAATAGGTTTTCTGCTGTGGAACATGAGGAAAATAAATAAGTTATTATTTGATTTGAGAAAAGAAATGCCTTATAAAACGTTCACTAAAAATGACATGATTGTTGCAAACTATTACCAAGCAATTCTTTAGTTGCTAGAAATTGGTTACAAGTAACCCCACAGAGACAGTGACATATATTGACTGAGCAGCCATTTTCAATTAACAGAAGTTCTAAATAGTAGCTAAATCGCTGTCGAGACAATGTATGCTCAATATTCTCACTGCTGGGCAAGGAAGTAATATACTGGTTTCATTATCAACATACAGAAAAACAAGCGAGATTTTTGGCTTGTGATAAACTTTGCTGTCAGAGATGGGTAAACAAGGTTTCTTTGGTTACTTCACTTTCCTTCAGAAAAGAGGAAAACAGAAATCAGGCAAATCATAGCATTTTACTTTAAAGGTAATATTGAATGCTCACATCACTAAAAAACAACGGGGAATATGAAAAGTAAGCAACTACATCACAACTAAACCACAGGGAAAAACAAGCAACATATATGAAGCCTTTCTGATGCACCATCCCAAAAGCCCCCATCACCACAATCTTACATTATTGTGCAGAAGGAGGTATTAGAGGTATAAAGCACAATAATGTGTGTGACTGTGTAACATCAGGCTCTCTCCAAATAGGTGGGACCTATTGGTCCCACAACGAGGACCTGTAACTGCAGTATGCACTCTCTCACACAGCCCTAGAATCCTTTCAGGACAGGGGGCACCCAAAACCTTTTGAGGAAGAAATGCTATTGAATTATGTGTCAGTACAGCACTTGCAGAGCAATTGCAGTGGGGCTTCTGCATACAAAAGGTACTGCAAATAATGAATGATCCTCATCTTTAGCCATCTTCTATGAGTGGCTTAAGTCTTTCTCCAGCTTTCAGTAAGCTTTTTTGAAAGCTATCAAGCACAAGATTCTTGAACTCTTTCATCTGCAAGAAGTAATGTCTCTGTTATCCTACAATATGTCATTTCACTTATGGTTCAAGACAAATTAACCAGCCTTGAGAAAAAGCTATTGTTAAAATAAAGTATTCTAATATGGAAATATAAAATGTAATGTCCAATACCCATAATCTTCAGATTAAAGAATGTAAACTTAAACCACCGTTTTATTGCTTATCATTCAGGCAATGAGTAAACAGGCTTAAAGACTTAACTCTTACAGTATGTTACAAAGGTTTAAATCTTTGTTAAATTGCAGCCCTTATAGAAAAACAGTATATACCAGGCATTTTCCAAACAGCTGCTAAATCCAGATATATTCACCAATACCAACTTTCTGGAAAATCACAGTGGAAATGTACAAATCAGGATTTTGCTCTTGCCTTATGTTAATTTTTCAATCTATAATGAACATCTAATCTCATAAAACATTTTTTGATATTTCTAAGGAAAGATTTGTAATGAACTCTGTGGAGAACTACTGTCTTCACTAAGCTGTTCTGTGACAGAAGATCACTGATGAGTTCCCCTAAGAACTCTAGTCCAGAGCATACTGTCCAGCATAGACAAGGAGAAAGTTATTCTCCGCCAGGAGAAAGGTATTAGCCAAATTAACAGAAGGAACTTCAAGCCCAAATTTAAGCAGGTGAATGAAAAAACTATCCATCAAAAACCAAGGAAAGACAGCGTGGAGCTAGGAAGAAACAGAATGACATGGTATGCAGAAAACAAGCTGCTACACACATTTCCCAGAACAGCTGAAATTGCAGTAGTTAAATCAACTAGACTGAACTGCTGCCAACAAAGCACACAAGCTGGACACAAAGTATGGATTCTGTAATTCAATAAATTTTTAAGCATGTTTATCTTAGCGGCCACATACATGGAAGCCTAAGAAAATTCATTATAAAGTTGGCATTCAAAATACAAAGGAAAAACCTGTTCATTTTTTTTATTTTTAAGAGATCTCCAAAACTGAATTTATGACCTTACAGTAAAGTATCACAGGCTCTTCTGAACAAACCCAACACAAGGACCAAGTGATTCCATCAACTTGCTTTGCTTTAAAGGCTCATTGTTTACGCACTCTAAGATGTTTAGGAATCTAAAACAGTCAGTCTTCCCAGTTTACCTCTCAGAGATCAATTTTCATTACAAAATAAAACACTGCCTCTGAGAAGGGCAAAAACCCAAGTTTTAGTTGGTTCGTTGTCTCACGAGTCTTTATCACTGTAAGAAAACAACACTTACTATCATCTAAGAAGGTAAACACATATTTTTCATGTCTTTCAGTAGTTTTCTAAAAGCATTGGTAGTTTCCTGACTTGTCTTATCACCCTCCCAAACTTTCAAAGTAAGGAAGCCTGAAAGTAACCTCTCACTTGTGGATCTGCAAGGCCTTCCCAATTTGTACATCAAGTCTGGATTGTGTTGGCTTGTTTTTTTTCCATATCAGTCTTTTTACAGTCATCTCTAATGGAAAAAACTAATTAGGAATACTGGAAAGCCACAGATGTGGTGTACAGGAATTCCACTAATGGCACTTCAGGTTCATGGGTTACCTGCCTGGCATTAAGAATACAGACAGTACAACTGTCTTTGCATTATGCACCTACAGCCCTTCCAAAGCATAAATAAGATATATCAGAAGTTCTGCAAATGTCTGTACTAACTTTAACTGCTGCTGAAAATATGCTCCCAATTAACATGGAAATGTCTGAAAAAAACCCTACTATAATGACAAATGTGTCTTTTCTTAGCTTAGAAGGAAGTAAATTGCCAAAGAGCAAAAGAGAAAGGCTTTAAAAAGCTGATGGGGTAGGAAAATGAGAACAGACAGACACAGTAATTAAACCTGGGGTGGCTCCTCTGGTGCCTCATTCTAAGATATGCCTTTCATTAAGTGTAATAGAACTTAATGGATCGTTTGCAATGGAGAAACATTTATATGGCACTCAAACACTAAATGTATCCCTTTATTAGCAGCACTGCATATGTACTTTCAAGCAAGAAGAAATTGCTGTAAGGATAAATCTATTCTATTAATCACTGAATACAGTAATGTATGCAATGTGTGGGATATATTAGAAATTCTTAACCCAATGAAATCTTCATAAAATGAAAAATGTTCAACTAAAGTACTATTTTTGTGGGAAAAATAAAATGCTTAACAGAATTGTGTTGGTAAGGTCCTATCACCAAGTGTGAAACAGAAAACTCATATTGAGTGTTACTGATAACATTACATTTTGCCACTGCCTTTACTACATTAGTGTAATCCAGTGTAATAGCCTTTGAGAACACTGCAAAATGTAAGAAACTAAATACTGTTCTATACTACTTATGAATATTTCGGGGCAGGCAGGGAGATATTAAGAACTGTCCTATTGAATCAGATCAGTCATCCATCTAAACAAGCATTCTGTCTTTGACAGCAGCACCAAGTGATGTTACTTCAAGAAAGTATTCAAATAAGTCTAACCACAGCTTCAAGTCAATTCCCATTTCCTTCACAAGCATCTACAAACCTTAAGAATTAGGAATGCTAGACGGTACAACTCTTACTGTTCTCCTCAGTACCCATTTATGGACCCATGGCCCCTTATTTTTCTAATCTCTTCTTTTTAACCTGCTGATATCATCTGCTCCCATAAAATTTTGAGTTAACTAAATTCCAGGAGCTCACTAGCCACTTTATAAGACAGTAGCTTTACTAGTTTAAGCCCATTTGTTAGTTTCACCGAGCGGCCTCTAGTTCAAATACTCAAGGATCTGACGAATAGCGGATCCACTTTAGTCTTAACCATCATCTTCGTTATTCTGTACACAAATACTTAAAATAAGATACAACCTCTGCTGCTGTCTTTGTAAACCTAAGTCAAACTTGATTCTAATGAAATAATAAGACTTTTTTCTTCTTGCATAGTTTTCTTGGTATGCTTTTATTACTGTAACACATCTTTTCATTTCAGCTGATATGAGCATACAGAGAAAAAATTCTGGACTGTAATTAGTATATTTTTAACTTCATCTAAAAGATGCAGGAGCTTACATTACAGTGAATACTTCAACAGACTAAGGATTTCCCAAGGAAAATGTTCAAGAAGTTGCTTACAAAGTCAGTTTGCTTATGATTTATAAAATTTACTGACACATACATCAAGTACAAAACATGATCTAAGCAATTTTTAATTGGCTTCATTACCACATACCTTACATCGCACTATTGATTGATTAAACTGTGATGTGTATTATCCATTCTGCTGTCCCAATTATCACATATAAAGATCTTGTATTTCATTATATTTCAGCTAAAGTCAGGTGATTCACAGCATGATTACAAGCAAGCACTAATATGCTTGCAGAAAGCACACAAGATTATCTATCATACGTATGCACACCTTGCATGCAGGTATCTCCAGGAAAACAGATACCCGGAGGATAGGGACTCTGGAGTAACAGATACTGTCGAATTCACAGATAAAAAGAAGTTGTAGGGTTTCTAAGAAACCACCTACCAGTGTGATGTCTCGGGAAGCAGCAGCTGCACTCATGTGTAAACTAGGTTGCCTGACAGAGCTACTGCAGTCCAATGCTCGAGCAAACGTGCCAACCGCACTACAACAGAGAAACAGCAGATTGTAAATCCACAGAAAGATGTAACCTCTTTTTTATTATCAGACTATGTCATATCTATAAAAGTGTCCATTTAAAAATAAGTACATGTTGTTACTCCTAAGATTTCAGATCTTGGCTAAGAAAGGACAACTTGATAAAGACAACTCACTGAACACTGCAGTAAAAATTCTGACCTTCTCCCCCCAAAATAACAACCAACATATAAGAACAAAAGCACAGAAACAAAAGATACTCAGAGAGTTCTAATGTAGCAACTTTTTAATATAACAATTTTTTATTAATTATGAAATCAAAGATCCTATTCAGTTCGGGTTTTAAAACCAGGAGTTAAAAAAGTCACACCACCATTAAAAAAAATTACATTTTTTAGAGAGGGTAACCATGTTTCCGTGAGGAAATGCGTAACAGTTATATTCACTGCAGTGCTGCATGCCTACTACTTCCATTCGTGAGGCAAAGAAAGCACATTAGCTTAGTGTAACATACCTCCAGAATCCTATTTTTGCCACAGATTTTAAAGTAACAATGAAATAAACTGAAAACTCCATCTACTTAATAAAAGCATTCCTACATATTGAAATGGCCACTTTTTTAATCTTTTTTTTTTTTTTTTTTTTCCTTTCATGTTGATGAATTGTATATGACATTTGCTTACCAAAGCAATTAAAGATAAGGAAAAGAGATGGAGAATTAGTGTGACAGTGATCATTCTAAACTGCAAAATTTTTTTGGAAGCACACCTATAGCTCATCTACAGTGAAGGGAAAGATGCCTAAGAGAATTTGACTGAACTCAACATATCATACAGGAAATGAGCAATGATGCAGCAATACGAGAAAGATTCTGAATTAAAGAACAGAAGTTGCTCCAGTACCCTGAGTTGCATAATTACTCTTGACGTGCATTGTGTCACTGATACTAGAAAAAAAATTATTTGTTGCAGTTATGACATTATTCAAGTCCTTCTAAATTCAAAAGACTCATATACTCACTGAACATTTTTAATACAGTCTAAGCTTCTGGACTAAGGACTGGAGCCTCACTCAATTACATTCCACACAAATCATAAACAAAAAAATATACAATTGGGGAATGCCACTGAAAGAGATCAACACATTCAAAGCAGCACACTACTATGCAGTATAAATGTGATACTCAGCAGTAATGTAATGTGCATCAAGAGTTTAACTCAATAAGGTGTATTACTGATTGTGCAGAAACTGGTAATAACATCTATTATTGGAATTTTATCTTGATTCTCAAAACATTTAATATTGAATGTAATGTTTCAGACTTGATGCCAAAAACTTAAAAGACACAGTTAAGATTCAAGAGCAGCAATTCACACACTTCAGATAGTAACTACTTGTATTTCTAAAGGCTGTGGAATAAATAAGTTATATTCAAATGTTGTTACACAACCTTTGCTCCCTCTTTGCAGAGATGGCAAATACGTGAAAAGAACACACACGGACATTGTTTTCTTCTTCAGAAAGTTTAGCAGTTCATAATATAGTATTTGTCCACAAAACAGTCTTGAGAATAAGGCACTATTGTGAACACATTTCCTGATAGTCAGCGTACCCCTTTAAATATGCTTGCATTGCTAAGGGTTCTAGCTAAAACAGTCTTTCCTGTCATTCTTCTGTTGCTACTGGTTAAATAAGTTGCATGCAGCAGGACTCTCTCTCCCCTCTGCTGCTACCTGTTAGCTTCTTCTTTTTGCTTAATTAACACTACTTTTCTTTGACCATATTTCTAAAATAAAATCAGAATATGCTATGAAAATTACAAAAGATATGCCCTCACAAGTGACCTGCTAGCACATCACAATTTTTAGGCATACTTCAGAGCCCAAGCATATATGAATTATATTGTCCAGTACATCAAGGCAAAATTATGACATGAATATAAAGCTAGTTTTATTCTGAATAAATGATAAAGAGATAACAATTGAAGCGGTTGACATCACTTCCAGTGCCGTACTGAGTAGGAGAGAATCGCTGTGTGGGAGCATGGGGTACGTGAGTGCAAAACAAGCAAGAACCATGATAAAGTACAGGCAGTGTGCAATGTCTGGGCAGGGGACCAGGGTGCATTTGTCTGTGGCTGTACGTTGAAATCAATGCAGCCTCCAGTTCATCTTTTTCTGGAAACTTTAGAAAAACAGTGAATTTTTTAGACAATTCAAATAAGTGTAGGGTTTCTAGAGCATTTGGTTCTTAAGCAGTAACTAGTCTCAAACATAGCAGTGATTTACAGTGCTCTGAATAATCTAGCTGTGGAATCCAAAGCTAAATTCAATATTAATTTTAGAAATAATTTAAATATATTTTTAAAATATTTTTCCATTTAGAATTCACATGAGGAACATCTAATACAAAGGTTAAACATTTACTTTTTAGTTTTTCCTTGCATGATTTTTCCCCTAATAATACCAAATAATTATTTCAAAAATATTAAAATGGAGAAAAAAACCTCTCAGAATAAGCAATGTCAATGTCCCAAAGACACACCATTGTCTTCATCTACCTGCTACCAAAATACAACTCAGTATTAAGCTAGTATAGGCCCTCTTTTCGTTTAAACAGACTATGTAATCCAGATGTTCCATTAACTTGGTAGAATCAAAAAAATAACTTACTTGAAAACATATCTTATTCAGAAACAACAATAATAAACTCACATAACCAAAAAAAAATTGTACTCAGCAAGCTAGTCACAAATTACTTATTCAACGAGTAATTAAAGCACTTTCAAACAGAAACCAATACTCTCCATGTCTCCCAAAGTAAGCTAAAGTCAAAAGGCATACAGTGAATTGCACACATGTCAGAGAGATGTCCAAGAATGACAAACAATTTGTGGCATCAGCAGATAGAGAACTATGCACAGGCTGTATAACAAAGCAGGTATAAAAGCTTTAAGGGCTAGACCACATTATGCAGGTTTTAATTAGGTTTTTGTTGTTATCTGAACAGACCAGAACTAAGAATGTTCTCTCAAACTAGTAACAGAGATTGCAACTGACAACCATAAAGACATAAAACAAATCAAGATAATCTGGTGCCAGGATCCAAGACTATGGAATAAACCCAGAAATTAATCAAAACTCAACAATATTTATGTAAAAAACAAACCCTGGAGTGAACTCTCTAGGGATGAAGCAGCTCATCATAGTTTTGTTCTGCCTGTATACCCAAGATCTGGGCAACATTTCAGATTAGGTGTTGAACACAGAAAATATGTTGCTCCAAGTTCCTTATAACTCAAGACTAAGACAATAAAGGAAGTAATTGTTCAAATTTTTGCAGAATATAAGTATTAATAATCGCTGATAAAATTATGAAGCAGCAAATGCAAGAGACTGTCATAACACATTTCTGAAGATTCAATTCCTCATCAGTTCCTAGTTCTGAAAAGGTTATTTACTAAAGAAAATCGGGAACCACTGTGATTATACATCAGGATAATGGCAATCACTAGTCTTCCTGGTAGCAACAGCAGTCCAGCATCAAATCAGAGCTAATTTCTTGATCCAGGCCATTAACTCTATTTTCTTCTATTTTTTATTCTCAAAAATCAAATTAAGACAGATAATTTTTCATCTGAGGATGTTTAAAGTTTTTCCCTTTTACACTTCATTTCTCTGTTTCAGTGATACAAGATGAGTAATGGGCATACGCTAGACAAATGTTTAAGGCGAACCACCTCTCTGCATAGACAAATCTGCAAATTCAGAGTTTCCCTCACATCTTTGCAAACTACTCAATGAGACTTATGTTCCACCTCAGAGTTAATATTTCTGAGGAAAATTATTAAGTGGATCTTTGAAGGTTTCCTACAAATGATGAAAGGTTTTTGTTTTCCTTATTTCATCAATGTTCCACTTCACTGAGAGTTGGAAACAGTCCTAAAAGATGACCTCTTAGACTGCTATCAATTACAGCATTTTACAAGCACCCAATTAATATTTGATGTCTCCTTAACAGAGTCTCTTGATACTCAAAATCTTGGAAAGAAGAAAAAAAATCCTTCTTCAGTAGAGATATATGTCATCAGCACAATATTAATTAAAATTGAAAAACACCCGAGACTTCTACTACTGGATCATGCAAAATCTGACATGAAGAACATACTCATAGTAAAATTATGCTGTTCCAGAATATGCATTTTCCTTGCATTTCTAAGCATCTGTCTGTACAGTGCTATGCTTCATTATAATCACTTCAGATATGTAGAGCGCAAAGGGAGATGACATGATAAACATCAAAGTCACCTGCCACTACTCTTTCTCCAAAGGACTTTCAAAAGTTAGGTAGCATTACATGTAATGTCCCCTATGCACGACAACTAACCTTCACTTTCATTACTAAATTAACAGAATTGGAATGTGTGTGAAATCTTACAACAAATATAGGATCTGATTCATATGAGTAGTTTAATTCACAGGATACGATTTAAGTGATCATCTCTACACACTCCTGCAATTTCACGGTCACAGAGGAGATTTACAGCCCTCCAAAAGCAGGTTCATAAAAATGCTGCTGCAGATTTTTTTGTGTAGCACAAGAAATCAAAATTCATAAAATAGATGCAAAAAGAAATTCAGCTCCAAGTAGTCTGAATTGGCTGCTTTCAAATGAGTTTGGTCAGAAAGAAATATAGTAACATAAAATGTACAAACAAATAAACATGTTTTGGCCAAGCATGACAGACAGGCAGAAACACAGTATTTTTTATACTCTTAGTAAACTTGATGTGAAAATATTTCTCCTTTTTATTGCCAAACCATCTGTCTATCATTAGGTGCTGGAATTCACCTTGCTAGCAAACAACTAGTTCTGTTAGTGCAGCATTGGCATGAAGATGTTTCACCACCTTTATTGTATAATTGTATGCTATAGTTCTACTACTAGATTTCATACCTCTGATTTCTTACCATCTAAAGAGAATCCAGAAGCACACTACTACTGAAACTTTCAAGCCAGTGACTTTCATATTTATTTTCATTTACAAGCTTTGGGAGTCTTGTCTACTGCCAGTGATTACACTGAATTACTATTTAAGCACACTTTTAAGCATTTTTACTTATTGTTCTCAGCTGATGAGTGTATTCTTTTCCTCAATATGATGAAAGACACATTGCTAGTTGAAACTGCTGTGTTCCTTTCCTCACTGTAAGATAAATACATGTAACAAATAAAACTTCATAAATCAGGGCACTTAATCAATAGTAACCAACAGAAAATGAATATAATCACTGTCCTAGAGAAACTGGAAAAGTGGAAAAAACACAAAAAGTATGACGCTCTAATTCAAAATTACTAACTTGTAATTTTCCACTCTTCTGTGATTTTACATTAAAAAATGAGCAGGTGTTCCTATGAAGAGAAATGTTATGCTAGCCAGAGGTATGTAATGCCATTTCAATTTCCAAGTAATCAAACAACAAAATGTTAAGGTAGAGATGGGATGCTTCAAGGCTATTTTAATTAGTCTACAAAACTGTGAGATAAACTGGAACCACAAGTGTCTGGAAAATATCTTGATTTAGAGATATATTACTTCTAGAATACTTCAGTGATAATCCAATTAGATGAAACAGAACAAAAACTAAGTTAACTGTTTCACTGCATCATAAAGTGCAGAAATGGAGCTAGAATGTACAAAAAAACCCCATAACATTTAATGAAGTATAGACCAAATTAGCAGATAGAAAGAAAATGAAAAAAAAAAACCAAACAAAAACAAACAAAACAAAGGGTAAGGTGTATGGCTCTCAGCATCTGTCCAGATGAGCTCACAACTTCTACTACGATTGAGTCTGTTCAGAACCATTTTTAGACTCCTTGACAAATTAAAAACAAAGCAAACAAAAAACCCAACAAAACCAACACAAGACTATTATGCTATACACACAATAGGAAAGTTTCTATTTGCTAATACTATGCAACTTGGAACACAGAGAACATGAGATCTGACAAACGACTGGAGAAAACAGGCTGCATCTATATCAATGTTTTAGTTCAAATTAGGAATGGAGTTTTAAAGCAACTGTCCCCAGCATCTTTGTCTACTGCACTTTACAAACATCAGGAAGCACTTTGTAGCATACAAACTGGATTTCTGTCAAATTAAACAGTAGTTCCATATACTCCTAGATAATTAGTCCAAAGGACCAGATTAGAGTTAGCCTAAAATCAAAACTGCTCAGAATTTGCAGCATCAAATCTTCCAATTCTACCATTCCACTTCTAGAGTATTTTACTATTTGTCACTGTGAACAGATCTCAAATGCTGTTGCAGCTGTTCTTGGAAGCTAGTAGACTCAGGGTAGCTTTTGCCAATATATATTACAGAACAAAAATTGGTTGATGAAGCTGTGTATCTTATTTGAATTGAGCAGAAGATGGTATTGGAGTTCTCACTGCCAAAGTATAAATGACAGTGTGTTACTCCCCCCCAGCAAAGAACTCCAAACCATTACACATTAGTATGACGCATCAAGCTTTTCCTAACAAATGATTTTGCTAGTTCAAGCAAGAGGCCCATTCCCAAATTATGCTTCAATAGAAGCAGTGAGGTACTTTCAAGATTTGTAAATCCACAGTCAAGCAGGACTACTTAGGAAGCTCAAGGTTAAGGAACTTTCAGATTCTCCATAGATTTTTCTGGCACTGCTACTTCAGATTTCTGGACAGAATAGGTATATTTTACCTTTATACCCAGCAGATTATTGCACACTAGGTCTTAGTGATAAGAAGAGACTGAACAAGCATATAAATTTAGAAAAAAAGGTTCCAGAGACAAGTAAACAAGCCTTGTAAGCCTGAGAAAGATATATAAAAGCAACTCTTCCTTCATCGAAGAAGAAATACTCCTCATCTTTGATTTAACATGTTAAAAGGATCACATGAAAATCTGCTTTTTAAAATTTAAAATACAGATAGCGTACACATACTTAACCAAAATCACATGCAGGAAAGCATTTAGGAGTAAGTTCTCATTGTCAGAATTTCAAGTTTGCAAAACTAAACAACTTTCAGGAACCAGAGAAGCACCATTCTCACTGGAAACCCAGTTGGCACAGCCACTGGTCAGTGAACTGCAGTTGGGCCACAGCAGAAATATCTTCCGAGTCTGTAAGCACAGTTTACCAGATCATAACACCAATTCCAGTTACTCAAGTAGCTTTTAATGGTCCAGTAAAATAAAAGCCCTTACATGCAAGCACACAACATAGTGAATTTAAAGCTGCCACAATCATCATAGGAGAACTGTTTCTCCAGAAATTGGTGAAAATTTGTCTTGGAAGCACTTAATGCAACAGGAACATGATCTTGCAGCCTGTACATACAAACATATAGAAGACTGGAAACAATTTTTGTCAGCTCAAAAGCAGCTTACAAATATGCACAAACATCTGAGGAACATCTCATTACAGATGGTCATTATTGATTGCCTACCACAAGCTCTTGGATAGCCACAATTAGTTGGCTATGACCGAGACCCATTCCCTACATAACAGAAACCTTTTTTTTAAGGATATGTATCAACTTCTAAACAAATGCAGTCTTTGTCAGGGCACAGCACTGCACAAGATGTCTTAAGTAAGGGGACAAAGAGACAAAGATTTTTCCTCAAAAAAAATCATTTATTCTCCATCGCTACCCTGCTTACTGGTACATTCCTCTGAGAACGTTTTCAGCTCCACAGCATACGACTTCAACTCCCCAGAATAGGTGCAAAATGGTGAGTGGAGGGATGTGAAGGCAATTAATGAAATTTAAAAAATGCACATAATCTTCACATAGATGGAATTTTTAAGGCTCCCCATAGTGGCTGGCTCATACACACCCAGGTATTCTATTGCTGGTGACAATAGTTAAACAGCAAGTAGTTCTGTTTTCCGAGTTCTGTTCTAAGGAGCATCTACCAGACAGGCGAAACATGCTATATTGTACGAGTGTATAGTTGTTCTTCAGTAAGAAGGTTATAGAGTTTTGAAGGGTTTCTTTAAACTAGAGAAATTCTTTTTAAAGGTGTTTCCAAAAGTTTTGATGTTCTTCTCACACATCTGCATAATCATGTGTTAATTTATACAATTGAACTGACCAGATTTTTTTTCACTAAAGAAATGCATCACTTAAAATCTTTTATTTCAGCATTCATCCAAAATAACTGCATTGCATATTCTTCAACTTATACACAAACTGGGCAAGTTCTGCATCTGTTTCATTTGCAAATATTGTCTTTATTTCTACTCTTTATATTATAGCATGTAGAACTTCATAATGTAAGATAAGACTGAAACATTAGCACTGTTGTCCTGTTTCATTTACTTGAAGGGGACACAGACTGATGTCTCCATCAAAGTATCAAATTCTACTAGAACCTGAAATACAGGCAGTGTAGCATTGTTCCAAAACTCACTCTCTTTTTCTCTCTTCTGTATGGCAGCTTCAATATACAAGCAGAAGATTATGGTCTGATTTTCTCTTTTAGCTAACTGTGGAAAAGAGAAGGGCTCACAATATGGTAAACAAGTTGAGTAATGCAATATAGGGGAATAAATAGTAGGAAAAGGAAAAGGAATTTTTATATTTTTTTTAGAGGATTTTAATCTTACCGTGCTACAACTAAAAACTGGTCAATCTGACGGTCAGTAAGGGGGCTATCTGGATCCCATACTTTTACTTCCAGCTTTGCCTGTTCTCTGTCATCTAATTCTCCTGTCAAAAGGTAGATGGGACAAAACACTTATTACTCACATGTTTTTCTCTGTACTAAATTTAAAAGAGACATTGTAAATTTTTAAACACATACAGTATCTAACAATCAGTAATCCATTTGAATTCTATAATGCAGCATCAGTAAAATGAATACCTTCACTTAACATCAGCATCTCAATTTAAGGAGGCATTCTTAGGAGGTATAGTATGAAATAACTTTAACAAAATGCAATCAAACTTGAAAGAATAATTCAGTATCCAGAGTTTTCTTTAAATTGCTTCTCAGCTATATCAAACTTACTGTTTCGCTTAAGCCATATAAAATTAATTTTACACTTGACCAGATTAAGCAGTTAAATTCTATCTAATTTGTATTCTATGCCCCCAAAACAAAAATAATTATGAAAAAATGCTGTCTTCTACATTTTTTCCACCTCTTGGTTTCAGTCACTACATTATCCATATTGTTAACACAAATTATACTATTAAAATTGCTGTGTGTTGACTTGCTATATCCTCTTATAAAATAATACATAAGGCTACAGCACAAGGAAGTTATTATACGCTACATCATGATTTCCCAATTCCATTTGTCTCTACAATGCATATGCACGTAGTTGAAACGATGGTGGTTTCTGAAATTTGATTTGCCCTATATTCATTATTAAGAGTATGCCATTAGCACTGCTTGGAAAAACAGTGAAGTGTGAAGGTGCCACCATGATTCACATTCATATAGAATCCTAAATCTTGGCTTGACTATTACACCAGTAACTTCTACTGCAAAATGAGAAACATTACAGAGGGTCATCAGGCAGGCAAGACACATTCTATTAGTGTGAGAAGATTTACCCATGGGATGTGGCCACCACAGTTGAGGCCACGACAGACAACAAGAGCGAAGTTAGAATTATTTTCTTTTCTTTGTATTTTAGAATACGAACATGCTCTTCCTTCAGTGAATATGTATGAAACTCTCATGTTAAGCTGGATGCCAGTACTTTTATGAGGTACTAAAAGAATAAAAACCTGTTATCAAATACAGCCATCCCATTTCCATTGAAAAGCTAGGCCGTGTAGGTACTTTTCTGACAACACAGAAGATCACTTTAGTCTTCCTTAGTTCTTATGACTTAATGAAAACAGCCAGCCTAAACACACATAGTATCATCAAGACATGAAATGATCTGTATACTTAACGGTCTGGAAGCAGAATGCAAGCCAATCACTGGCTTTTCTGAAATCTGATCACATGTTACAAGTTTCTCGAGCACTTACTGATTCTTGAAGGGAATAAGAATGTAGTGTATATATATTAAACTCTACCAAATGCATAAAACTGCACAGTCCTGTCTGGCTAATGTTTCAGGAACAAATTTCACATTCTCAGAAAACCAAAGCAAATTACTTTCTTCTGATACGCAGGCAATAAAGAATTTCCTGCCTGCCTAATGGGACTTATGCTTCTGTTAAAGAGAATCCTCATGCAGTTACTGAAGACAAACTCTTTAATTTCTGGCAGTCTTGAGGAGGATTTTAGGTCTATAAACTTATTCAATGGACTTTTCAATACATTCATTTTTTTCCATCTGTGACAGGCACACTGTGGGTGATGTTCTACATTTTATAAATAATCTAAGAGTACTTCAATCTGTTAATACAAAGTTTTAAAATATTTTTAATGTTAGTTAACTGTTTCAGGACACCATACCCTAGAGATCAGAACTGACAAAGTATGACAAAACCCAATACTCAGGCAGGGCATACTTCTCAAAAAAAGAAAACATTAAATGAACACAGCCAAGTATCCAACACAAATATGTCATTCTCCTGAATCAAGTTTGCAAAAATATGAAAGAAATTGCAATACTAAGTCTTACTTCAAGTAGAGGTAAATTAACAATTACTACTGAAAAATGTTGTAACTATTGATAAAGTCAAATCTGAAATACTGCCAAACAGTATTTTATAATGGCAGTAGAACTAAATAGGATACAAGCCAATGAAATAGCTATACCAAAATATTTCAAGCACATATATTTTCAATATTTAATATTACTACAACAATGGCAGAGAGAGGTTTCTGGAAGATACACGGTCTCTGTGAAACTGCACTTACAAAAACCACTTCACTCCTGCTTTTCCACTTAAATAGCAGGATATTATCACTTAAACAGGACGAAAAGTAACTCAAACAGATCAAATTATGAGGGCAGTCAACTGATACTGTAGAAATATTTGAATAGTTGATTTCAGCAATAAAAACTTGGTTTACTTCCTTTGAATGTGCTGAAAGAATCAGTACAGCAGAATTACATAAACAGGTCTTCCAAAATAGTAATTATTTAAAAAATCCCATTTGATTGGGATTTGAGCTGTCCGTCCTTTGTTAATCATGCTTGTGCCTTATACTATAGGATTTTTAACACAGGAGACCCCTTTAAGATTACAACACAATTTCTCTGAATCCTTCTACATTTATCTTTCACACTGCTGAATTTGACTCAGAACTCTTAAGACATTCAAACTGAACAAGCATCAAAACTGCCATAATATTAATCCCTTTTACTGCCAACTCTAACGGAATGGGGGAGCTAAACTTGTAATATTTTCAGTCTTCCATCTGAGACGGTTCTCATGTACTGTTTTACAAATGTTACCTTTCCTCACAACTACCACACCAATTACAATATTTAAGAAGTGTTATGTTGTGGTTTGTTTTTTTTTTCAAAAGTGCTACTTATTTTATTATAGTCTAATCCTGAAGATTAATTTTACCAGAAAACATTAGTAGATATCCAGAAATAAGCCTGGCTCTCTTCTCACCAATCATTCAATGCCTTACTTCTCATGGTTCACTTTTAAATAAAAAGCAAAACGTTATTTTTATCTTAAAAAAAAAAAAATATTAAAATCTGCAGTTCAGTTAGTAATTTCAAACAAAAGAAATCATTATCTGCCTCCCAGAAACAAAATGTAAGAAGTTTTTTTACAGAACAATACTAAACCAAATGCAACTTTAAACTGAATGCAATCAAGATGAATTACAAGAAATTAAAAGATCTACTCAGTCAGTCTTTCAGACTTCACTTCCTGCAAGTAAGTACTCCCAACCTAATTAGTACATTAGATTTAGCATAATTTTATGTTCCTCTTATAACACGTCAAACTAAAAGAAAGTAACTTGCAATACAAACATTTTCTTACAGTGCAATTCATTTCATTTTACAGATATATAACAATGCTGCAATACTGTATCCTTTTAAGAAACTGAAGTATGAAATATATGTAAGCCATTGAAGTTGGAATTTTAAAAAAATCGTTTTCAGGGAAACAATGTCAATTCTGCTTATAATGACAAACAGTTGATAAAGTATCTGACTGGAAAAATAGCCAGAAGGACAGCTTTTAGAGACGTCACTTGTCAGGTGCTACACCTTACTTTTGTATTTGGCATAATTTGCACTGTTTTTCAAAATACCTTTTAACTTTCCTGTTCAAAAAGTAATTTAACAGTTATTGCAAACCAAGCTTATAAATAGCTTTCTGAGTAAATCCATCTTTCATGATATGCAAAAGAGTGGTACCAGCTGCTGGATGCTTAATCACACAGACCAGAAAATCTGTAGTTGCATTTTTTTGCTCACAGCAAGAAGGCATACATATCCACAGGCAGCAGTTGGACACCAGACCAATAGTTTGTGCCATAGAGTTCCTCCTACTACTGAAATTCACTCAGGGCTTGATACAACATCTTGAAATCAGCCAGGAGTTTTGACTCATGCATAAATTACCCAGACTTACTAGATACCTAAGCACCTAAATGTGCTGGCATTTGTAGATGCTTGTATTTTTAAAGTTTGGCATATGTTTAAGAAGTAAATTCAGTGTCTTTATCTTTGTGCTTCAGTTTCGTAACTGTGAAACAGGAGTCTCTTAGCTGCACTGCAAGGATGCAAAAGAGAGGAACCTGTCAGTTCTTAGTTTCCCTTAGTCCAGTTCAGTGTGCAATACAATGAAATTCTGAATTTGAGATCCAGGATCAGATTTACTAGATGGAATATTTAGTTCTAACAGCAGGTAATCCCAAACGTCTTTTTGAACATAACTTCATGTGCTATATAACCTTGTAAATATAGGCAACTGATCACTGAAAACAACGTTTCAACTCATGAACCACTTCCGCACATTGCTGTTTGTACTGCATGTCTGCAAACCTTTTCTCTCATTTATAGATAAGAAAAATAGCATCACATTGCATTTTCTTTTACTGTCTAGCTATGAACAAACTTCCAGGACATTTATCCTGTCTCAAGTAAAATCTAAGCTTTCTCCTTTGATGAAAAGTTTGTTACTTACCCTCTAAAGCAACAATCATATTTATTCTGTATAAAATTAATTATACATTCATACACAGTGGTTAATTACCACAAAACATAACACAGCTTTTGTCGAATAACTGATGGGGGGGAACGTGCACAGTGTAACTAAGAAAGCAGGTTACAAAATGTAAAAATTGCTACTGAGAAAAGAAGTATAGGAGGAAAGACATCTTCCAACTAGATAAACTTTTATCTACTGACACTTAATGAGTTCAATTCTGCATAAACTGAATTCATGGTAAACAGCTAGCTGACTGTTTGCCTTAAATAACAGAAATCACAATCCTCACTACAAAAGTTCTGCAGACATTGAGTTATTACTATTAATTTTAATTATTTAATTGTGATTCCCACCAGTACTGATAATAAAAAATTATCCAGGAAAGCAGTTCAAAAAAATTAAAAAAATAAATCTCTATGAGATGCAAATAGCTTACCTGATTACAATAACATGACAAAGCTTAGATTTTAGAAGTGTAAGCAAAAAGAAAATTATCCGTTTACCTTTTAATTGCAGAATAATATTGCAGAATAAATAGCTTGCCTGACAGTCAAGATTTGAATTAGTCATTCAGACAATGAGTTGCATATTTACACAAATCTTATGGTAAAACTCAA